CCTCTCTCTCTCTCTCTCTCTCTCTCTCTCTCTCTCTCTCTCTCTCTCTCTCTCTCTCTCTCTCTCTCTCTCTCTCTCTCTCCTCTTCTCTCTCTCCTTCCCTCTCTCTCTCTCTCTCTCCTTCCCCCTCTTCTCTCTCTCTCTCTCCTTCTCTTCTCTCTCTCTCTCTCTCTCTCTCTCTCTCTCTCTCTCTCCTCTCTCCTCTCTCTTCTCCTCTCTCTCTCTCTCTCTCCCTTCCCCTCTCTCTCTCCTCCCTTCCTCTCTCCTCCTCCCCTCTCTCTCTCTCTTTCCCCCTACCTCTCTTTCTCCTTCCCCCTACCTCTCTCTCTCCTTCCCCCTACCCCTCTCTCTCTCCTCCCCCTACCTCTCTCTCTCTCTCCTCTCCTCTCTCTCTCTCTCTCTCTCTCTCTCTCTCTCTCTCTCTCTCTCTCTCTCTCTCTTCTCTCTCCTCTCTCTCTCTCTCTCTCTCTTCTCTCTCTCTCTCTCTCTCTCTCTCTCTCTCTCTCTCTCTCTCTCTCTCTCTCTCTCTCTCTCTCTCTCTCTCTCTCTCTCTCTCTCTCTCTCTCTCTCTCTTTTCTGTTGCGAATTTATTTGGCTGGGAGTTTAATTTAAAGTCTCTTCTCAGAAATCCATGTGACAAAGATCTTGAATCAAAGCATTATGTAGCATTTGGCTTGAGAATTTGTCAACTCTATCTCACATATGTCTTGTGTTAATGCTTTGTCAGTTTTACATTTTTTTTTTTTTTTTTTTTTTTTATATAGAACCAGAGAATAGCTTGACTCTATGTTACTGAGGTCCCTCCCCAAGTTCCATTGATTGATCTGATTTTCAGTACTTTTTTTTTTTTTTGTATATATGATTCACAATGCAGATAATGTGCTCCTTGAAATTTCTTGTTCCGTGTCATCACTGCAAATTACAGTTATTATTGTCCTTGTAATGATAAGTCTATTATGGGCAGGTTACAGAATTGACTCATGCTGCCTTGTACTTTCTTGATTGTCTATATACATTTCTCAGATATGACTGTAGTGATTTAGTCAGAATAATGATATCCATGTATGTTCCTTATTTTTTTAGTCTTTGTTTACTTGAGGATTTTACTTTTTGTATAGGATGTACTTTATTTCCCTTTTTTCCTCTTTTTTGTATATATTTCTATATGTTGTTTTTTTCTTGTTTTTATTTATTTTTTTGCTAAAATTCTCCATATAGTGTCTGTTTTAAGTAAAGAATGATTGTATGATTAACCCATTGGTGCTGGGTCTTTGGACTGTCCACCATAGTTTTTGGTCCAGTCTGCTTACATATAGATGGCTCCATAGGGTGTCAATTATTAGGCCTATTTCATGACATCTGTACCCCATTATTCAAAATTAGTACTGTTATTATCCTTATTAAGGATACCATTATCATTACTGGCATAATTTTAAGTAAGTCCTTTACAACATAATTAGTGATAGAAATTTAAACTTCTTGAAAATTCAAGGAGGGTAAATGGATGAGACCGTGTAAGCTTAGGGACTCCTTGTGGCAAAGCACATGTGGAACCATCTATGTGTAAACAACATTAATTAACTGAAATCACAGTGGACAGGACATGGGCACTACATCAACAGGTGGGAGGGCAGTTGGGGCTTTAGTGTTCATATATGATGTATCTTGCATCTCTTCTTTACATAATATTTCCACTTTGTAAGCCATGATAGCAGCCCATTGGTGGTTTACCAAAGAGAAACCACAAATTATTGACTCAGTGATAAACCTTTGTTGATTTACATTTAAGCCCTTTGAAGTGGATGATTTTTGTGCCAATATCTATCACAAATTGCACTTCACCAAAAGATAGAAGGAAGGCTTCCTGTTTATGCCCTAAATACAATTTCAAAAAGTACATATGGTCCTACAAATGTATTCTAAAGCTAGGAGGGAACAAAGAGGAGAACCTCATTTTATCTTATTTTAGCTATTGTGATTTGTTTTTGCCACAAGTTTATAAAAAAAAAAAATCTTTAGACAGGTAATGGAAGAATTCATCTCTTGTGTTTTAAATGTAAATTAAAGTTAATGATTATGTAAAGATTTTATCACAGATTGACATCCTTGGAATAGATGGCATTAATTCATGTTTACGGTTACATAGTTACATTTGTATAGTTTTTTGTTTTTTTTTTTTCCAGTGGATATTTGTTTATTAATAATTTTTATATATCTATTATTTCCATTTTTCTCCTGATTCTTGAAGAAGAAACATTTATCTTGTACCAGATTCATATTTTAAGAAATGAAAATTTGTATTTTGATATTAGGAATGATTTTCAGGAAACAGCAAAAAGTTAGCTAAGGCGGCTGCAGCACGACAAGCGCTAAGCAAACTCTATGGTGTTATTGCCTCGACACCTTCTGCCGTACTCCACCACATGCCAATCTCCACTATGCCTAATCTCCACATGCCACAGACGTTAGCCGACAATATTGCCAAGTGAGTAGTCCATTT